AAATAAATGAAAATATGCAAGTAAAGTACAAGTAGCAGTACTTAAGAAAACGTACTAAGTCACTTTCGACCACTGGTCATAAACACACACACACACACACACACACACACACACACACACACACACACACACACACACACACACACACACACACACCTCTCCGCCGTCGTATCTGTTCAGCTCCTCCTCGGTGAAAAGTCTCACAGGTTCTCTGGAGGTTTTGTGTTTTAGCTTTAAATCTTCCGCTAAAGTTGCAGAAAGGACGAGCAGCAGGACGCAGATTCTCGCTGTTGCCATGGCAGAAACTTCATCCACTTCCGTGTTGCTGCTGGAGGGAAGCGGTGATGCATTCAATGTCGTCGGAATATTTAGAGATTACCTCTCGACCTCGATCGATTCCATCGTTATACGAAGGACGGAACATGACTTAAGTATACATTATTAAATAAATACATACATGTAAGAATAAATAAAGGAATAAATGAATGAAAACGGAAATAAATATATTCATAAATAAATTAAATAATGAATACACGTGGAAACAAATACAGGACTAAATAAATACAATAATACATATGGAAATAAATAAATAATTGTAATGAATACATGTGGAAACAAATACAGGACTAAATAAATACAATAATACATATGGAAATAAATAAATAATTGTAATGAATACATGTGGAAACAAATACAGGACTAAATAAATACAATAATACATATGGAAATAAATAAATAATTGTATAAACGCCTAGCCGGCCAACTTTTCAAGGACGCCTACCTCTAAGAGATGATTTTTAAATTACATTTTGTTTACTTTTTAAATGCTTTTATTTCGTTTTTTTGTTTACTGGTTTAAACAGGGCAGTAATAATCATAATCATAATCAATTCGATAATATAAATACTATATTATTTTATTATAGTATAGTTGTAATATAGTCAAGACAAAACATGCTTATTACATGTCAACCTGATATTTCTTAAATCTGTATTCAAATGTAGCTCCCTCTGTCAGCAATGTATCAACAACTACACACACATTTCTACTTTTTACGAGTTACACCTAAAGGCAGCACTAGGTTTCAACCTTAGGGGGAAGGAAACAAGGAAACGTGAAAGACACTCATGTTTACTATTGGATTGCGGTCTGGAGGTGCTTCATTATCATGGGAGGAGAATTTAATGTTTACGCAAAACCTCCCGTGGGTGTTGTTGTCTCCCTTTAGAGCGGTAAACAGGGACCTTAGAAGGAGGGAATTACATTTAATTTAAAATGTATTTCTTATTTATTAAAACTACTTTTCACACTTCGCACAAGTAGACAGGAGTTTCTCTTTGAAGAGCAGAGTCGTGTTTGTAAAGGAAGTGCAGAGGAATGGGCCGGAAAGAAAGATCCCGGTCATACGAAGAGGTAGGAAGTTTGTTTACAGTCTGATGTTTGTCTTCGGATAAATAGAAAACAAAAGTGTGTAATCTCCTGTTGATACGAAGGGTCCTTAAAGTGTCCCTCGGGTCGCTGCACGTCATGTGACTTTACAGCTGAGGCTGCTGTTTTCATGCTTCTTCCTTTCATGGGAAGAGCTAACCTCATTCTGACTATAGTTATGAAGTGGAAATGTAATCCTTTTCTGAAGTAAAGACAGGCATGAGGTCTGTGTTCATGTATACTAGTAAAAAAAAGTCTTAAATTACAATTACATTAAAGTACAAGTATCTCAAAATTGTACTTAAGTCCAGTACTAGAGTAAATGTACTTAGTTACTTTACACTACTGGCTGTAGCCTATGTAGCAACAGGGGCGGACTGGGACTACAAATCAGCCTGGGACTCTCGACCGGCCCACTTCGGTACCGCCGGCCCACCTCGGTACCGCAAGTAAATACTGCTCTAGTAAATTGTCGGGGGGGGGGGCGTCGGGGGGTGCTAGTGTCTTACCCGACCGGCCCACAACGTCCGACCGACCCACTTCAGTACCGGCCCATAGGGATTCCGTCCCGATAGCCAGTCCGCCACTGTGTAGTAATATAGTAATGTACTAAATATCATATATAAGTAGCCTACTTTCATTGAAATACTTAAAGTAGCTTCATTTGCTGCTAATACCTTGTACTTTTTTTTTACTTTGCTTAAAAATAAATAGCTTAAATGCTATCTGATCTTAATAATATAATATTTATTGATTGTTTGTGTATTTTTTTTATCAGAATCTGCAGATTTACTGGTAACTAATTGTATGAAATATATGTAGTGCAGTAAATTGTCATTGGAAGAAAACAACAACATGTAAACAGGAACAACAACACAATCAATAACATTAACAATGAACTTAAAACAAACTCAAAAACATAATATACATTTTCTAAATAACAATATACATGAACAATGTAAAATCTCCACTGCTGCACATGCTAAATTTAGATTATCTTTCTTCGTTAACTTGTGCTTTAACTCCTCCTTCACCTCACAGTTTAATGATGACGGTGATGAAGGAAACAAACAGTCGGCAGGATTCTTCGAAGGTGCGATGGAGCTGGACCGCGAGGAGACCAACGACAGCGTCTCGCCGGGTAAAAAACAACGTTTATCTAAAAGAGCTACTCTGCCCTAAAAGGAAGCTTCAAAATATGACTACTCTGGCTTAAAGTGTCTCACATGTGAAATATTTTGGACATTTTAAATATTTTGTTTACCAAAATGTGCTCCTGGAAAAAAATTCATTCTGCACAAATAATTATTACAAAAATACTAGATTCGCACATAAGACTCAAATTGAAATAGTGGTTTAAAGACTTTACAGCATGCACTTTTACGAGTTGCACCTTAAGGCAGCACTAAGTTTAGGGAAGGAAACAAGGAGACGTGAACTACAAACAAAATTACCATACAGCGAAGGCATAAATCATAAAATACAATATACAAGACATCAATGAAGCTTAAATATTCCCGGTGACTTCATCCCTTTTGTTACGAATACAACGACACAGTGGCGAGCCGTCAGGGCTCTCTATGTCCTCTCTGAGGGCCTAAGATATTCTACAAAATAATATTTAAAAACACTAAAATAATAATAATATATATTTTTTAAATATTTTTTTTGTTATATTCTTCATTAGTTTTATTTTTCATTAGTTTTACCAAAATAACTTGATTTAATTGTATTTAAAATTACATTTCCAAATAAATAAATCCTTCGAATCTGCCTATTCAGTTTCTTTTTGAATGTGAAGGGTTAAATGAAAGAAGCTCGTCTCTGCGAGGTACTGTGAAGACAGGAGCTGTTGGTGGTCCTGCTATGAATTCAAAGAGGGCCCGGGTAACCGAATGAGAGAGTAATGTCAAGTGACAGTACAACTGACCAATCATATGTTCCCTCTAAATGGGTGGGTTTTATTATCGCGAACTTTATGACAAGTTCCGCCCGCTGTGAAACTTTTCTTGTTTCCATAGCAACAACAACTTCCTGTTAACAGCGTAAACTTGCCTTCAAAATAAAAGCATGCCAAATTAAATTTAAGACATACAACTAAGTAACAAACACAATGCAATATCCTTTTAAATTTCAAAGAACACAAATTGGGTTATTTACAGGTGTGGTTTTGTGTGCTAGAGGGTCGCTCGCTGTCATTGATGCGTTTTGCACCCCGGGCTGTTGTTTTGTTTTTCCACTGAAGTATATGCTGTGACTTAATAACTATTTTTTCCCCTTTTTTTTCGAGGGAAGGGGTGGGGGTCAGAGGGCCCAGGTATAAAAGTCACGGCTCGCCACTGAAACTACATTTGCTTCCCCTGCAGAGGAGGAGGAGGAGGAGGAGGAGGAGGAGGCCAGGGAGAGCAGTCCTCCCATGAGGTTCAGTAAGAGCTGTCTGAAGAACCTCTTCATGGTTGTGCTCATCTTCATCTACCTACTGCTCACCGGGGTCGCCTTCTTCCTCGCCTACCAGACCATCTCTGACTTCCTGGAGAAAGTCAACCACCCCGTCATGTCCGTCACCTACAAGGAGGTGGACTCCTTCTCACCCCCGGGTTAGTATTCATAAGATAAAGGACGATTTAGTCAAGTTACAGTATGTTGTGTATTTTTACAATTTCTGGACATCTCAAGGACTGGACTGGAGACAGGAGCTTAGGTTTACTTGCAAGAAAAGCATCAGACATCCAACTATTATAACATAATCATCATAAAAGGAAAAATATTATAATCTTTTATGAAAAATATAGCAATCAGATTTAAAATAAGGTTAATTGCCTGGCAGGTTTTCACTTAAAGGTCCCCTACTCTTTTTCAACAATAGTGTTGATTATATTTCACATCATTAATCCAAATCTGTAAAGTAACTAAAAGTATTAAATAAATGAAGTGGAGTAAAAGTACACATTTTATCTCTAGAAGTACAAAGTTGCAAAAAATGTAAGTAAAGTACCTCGAAATTGTACTTGAGTACAGTACTTGGCTCAATGTACGTAGATACTTTAAATCACTGACCAATACTATACAGAAATCAACATTATGGATGAAGTTTCAGAGCTGTTCAGTTATCTTTTTAATCTTTAAACCTGCTACTGATAAAACACAGTGAAAGCTTGAACATAAAATCATATTAATCTCAAGTAAGCAGACATATTAGACATTCAAGAGCTTGCTGCTGTATTTAAACCTCGATATGTTCTGGTACTTTTAATATAGATGTGATTTATCTTCCTGTTGTCCTGCAGGTATCGCTCTGTACCCCGGCAGAGCTGAGCTGCTGAGCTGCAGACATCACTTCCACGACTACATCCCTCCGTTAGTGGAGCCCGGGACGCACCAGGAGGGAGAGTGTGTGACTCAAGACGTGACGTACGACGGACCGTTCAGCAACCAAACCCTGGTCAGAACTGCTCGTAGAAATAGATGGATGGATGGATAGATAGATAGATAGATAGATAGATGATGGATAGATGGATAGATGGATAGATAGATGATGATAGATAGATAGATAGATAGATAGATAGATAGATAGATAGATAGATAGATAGATAGATAGATAGATAGATGGATGGTGGGTAGAGATGGATGGATGGATAGATAGATAGATGGATAATAGATGGATAGATAGATGATAGATAGATAGATGATAGATAGATAGATAGATAGATGGATAGATAGATAGATAGATGATGATGATAGATAGATGATGGATAGATGGATAGATAGATGATGATGGATAGATAGATAGATGATGATAGATAGATAGATAGATAGATAGATAGATAGATAGATAGATAGATGGATGGATAGATAGATAGATAGATGATAGATAGATAGATGAGATGATGATAGATGATAGATAGATGATAGATGGATGGATGATAGATGATAGATGGATAGATAGATAGATAGATGGATAGATAGATGGATAGATAGATAGATAGATGGATGGATGGATAGATAGATGATGATGATGATAGATAATAGATAGATAGATGGATAGAAATGGAT